ATAAAATACGAAAATGTTTCCGTATGTTAGTCGTTATAAACGGACGCAGACCACTTTAGTTTAGGCAGGACAATGAGGAATAATATTCTACATATGCCCACAAAGTTTCATCAAAATCAGATAATTTTTGATTGAGTTATAGGGCAAAATTTGTGTGAAAAATCGGTCCCCATGTTAACAGATGGGGATTTTTTGGATTTTCGTGACCCTCCAAAAACTAATCACTTCTAAGTTGGACCATAGCCCAAATGTATACCAACTTTCATCCAAATCCATTCAGCCGTTTTCGAGAAATCTTGCCGACAAACACACGAGTGAAAAACATAACCTCCGTCCGCCTTCGGTGGCGGAGGTAAAAAATGTCCCAGATTTATAGCTGGTTCCCAAGTTTTGTAAACTTTGCATCAGAATTATTTTGTTTTTTCCACTTTGTGAACTGTTGCTATTCATTTCTCATAAACTATACATTATAGCTTAACCAAATGTTTTTAACTTACACTGATGTAGATAAGACAGCAATTCTTTTTTGTTTAGAGTTTAAGATTTATTAGTTATTATCCAACCCATTTGCTGCAGCATCATAAAACCTTTTGAACACAAGCTATTGAGTGTACAGTTATATCATGTGAGACAGTCTTGAATAAGGGTCGGAATTTCTAAAGGGTCTGGGTAAATATAAAACTATATTTTGGGAAGAACATAAAAAGTACAAAATGTGAAGGGGCTTTTTTTTTACAGGGGATACCTGTTGAACCTGTATAGAGATCAAAGTTCAGACATTTTTTACTTCCATTTTGTTACAGAAATTAAATTTTGCATAGTTAAAAATGTAAATTGTTAGGTATTTTTGAGTTAAAAATTGTTGAAATAGAATTACAATTTTTACATAAACTGAAAATTATTATGCAAGTGTACTCTCAGTGCCTTCTTGACACTAGAGAGTTGTTCACCAGTCCAGATAGGGTTAAATACTGGAAGGTTAGTCTATTTTACATCATCATCATTGCGAGACAGTGGTGCAAGAAGATACTATAGCATCTCTACTACTGGGTAGGAGAGACATCATCAATGACACTTGACCAAATGAGTGTGGTGTTCTGGTGTGAGATGGTTAACAGAATGCCACAATGTACAAGGATATGCTTTTATCCAACTCAGTCAGCAAGTATGGTCTCAGAGTGCTGCTAGTTTATCCTGCTGGCCAAGAATGTTTCCGACTGCTACAAGAATTCGCAGGATCATAGCAATATGCTGCTATACCTGATAGTGTTAAAGCTCTTTTTTAGTAGGTTTTATCTGCCATGCATATCCTGTCCCTCTCTTTTTACAGGGGATTCTGACTAGCAGCTGACAGTGTATGGACTATTCAGAGAACATCTAGGAATCTCATAGAAATTGTCTTAGCCTTAAGATTTCTGCTGATCATCACCACGATAACCCATATTTGCTACCATCTGCTCCTGGATATAAAAGGTAACCACTAGTTGCAGCAGCTGGGGTTCTCATAGTCACCTGTCAACCTCTCTGTCCTGTGAACAAATCAAGAATGCAGTCACAGCTCTCATCTTGGTTGACAAAAGTAGAGAGCTTCTCCTAGTTCTTATCATACTCTTAGTTTATGTCCCAATTTCAACCAGAGCTTTTCTCTTCACTTCTACATGGTCTCAATTAATGCCCTTCCATGATCACAATTTGTAAACTTTATACCAATCAGTGAAATTGAAAAAAAAATTATATCTCTAAACTAAATTCTGCATAAACAAATCCAAAATGCAAGTTAAAAAGTTACAGTATATGTTCAGTTTCACTAATGTCCAACAGGTACATATTAAGCACAGAAATCCTTTAATCCAAACCAAAATGGAAAAACAACCTTATGTTTACAGAAGAATGTCCATATATTAGGGAATGAAGAATTAAAGTTGAATACAGTATGTGGCAGTGCCTGCCAAATCCTATCTTTTTAACTGTAATGCACATGCATTTGACATAAATGTAGCTTAAACATCCAGTGTTCTAGTATAATAACATAGACCTGACCTGCAAAAATTGTAATGAAATTTGAAATTTGTCCTCATTCCCTTTGGATATGTTTGCCAAATCAATAGATCATTAGCTTATTTTCATCCTATTGTTAATAAAATTAAGAACACTAATAGATTTAGATGGATAAACTTTAGTGGCACAACAGTGTTCCAACAGCAGAAAAGCAGATTTGGTGAGTAGTGTACAGATTAACAAACACTAAAATAGTTTCTTTTATGTTAAGTCATATTCCAAGTCAAATTCCTTTTTTCTTCTGAAGGAAAAAATAAGGAATGTTTGAAAATAACAGCTGATGAACTGACAATTTATACTATTTGAACTTTTTTGCAATTTTACATACAGCTTGAATTCCATAGTGAAGTTCCCTCTACAACCCTTTCTCTAAAACGTTCTGGTTTATGGTTTTGGAAATCTGGTCACCCTATGTGTTGCTAAATCTTGACAAAGATTGTATCAAACTTATTTCTGTTCTGGAAAATATGTCATGTGAAACTCTCAATCTCAGTATTATCTAGCTTATTATGATGATAGTTGACAAGAACTGCAAAGCCTAAATGAAAATGTTCTTTCAAGAAGAAGTGGTTGGCAGTAATTATGCATGTAAATGGTGAATTAGGAGCAAATCAAAGTTTAGATATTTGCATTAGAAAAAGAATAAATCACAGAAGACTTTCTGCAGTATACTTTAGGCAAATATATACTTAACTATTGTGTGTATATATATATATAAATATTGTATCTATAATATTTAAAGGATGTTTGATTTATTTAAACCCTACTTGTTATTACA